GTTTTGTAAAAAAAAAAAAAAAAAAATGAACATACATGTACCATAAGGTTCAGCAGTTCCACCCCTAATTGTTTTTTTCCAAGCAAATGAAAACATGTGCTTACACAAATACTTACGTGCGAATATTGAATATTCGTAGCAGCTTTATTCATCACCAAAACCTGGAAACAATCTAGCAGTGGTTCTCAACCTTCCTAATGCCGCGACCCTTTAATACAGTTCCTCAGGTTGGGGTGACCCCCAACCATAAAATTATTTTTGTTGCTACTTCATAATTGTCATTTTGCTACTGTTATGTCTTAGGCGACCCCTGTGAAAGGGTCGTTCAATCCCCAAAGGGGTCACGACCCACAGGTTGAGAACCGCTGATCTAGAGGTTCGTTAACAGATGAATGTACAAATAAATTGTGGTATAACCCATACAATAAAAAGGAATAGACCACCAAGTTGTTGAATATTATAATATTTATGACATGTGAAAGAAGCCAGACACTAATTCCTGCACACAGTGTGATTCAATTTCCGATGACATTCTGGAGACAGCAAAATGAAAGGGACACAAATCAGATAAGTGGTTGCCAGGGAGCTTGGAGTAGGGAAAATGTTGCATGTCTTGTTTGTGTTGGGGTTGCATGACTATTCCTTTGTCAAAGTGATGAATTTTACTATATGTAAATCGTTCATCCAAAAGAAGAAAATAATACTGGCCAGTTTGACTGCTCAGTTAGAGCGTCAGCTGGCCGACCAGAGAGTCCCGGGTTCGGTTCTTGCTAAGGACACCTACCTCAGTTTCAGTTTGTCCCCAGCCCCGGTTGGGGTCGTGTGGGTGGCGACCAGTCTATGTGTCTCTCTCAAATCGATGTTTCTCTGTCTCCCTCCCTCTTTTCCTCCTGCTCTATCTGAAGATAAATGCAAAAATGTCCTTGGGTGATGATAAAAAACAAAAAACAAAAACACCTTGTGTTTCAGAGTGGTTATGGAAATTATGAGAGACCATTCTCTTCCCCTAATTTTACTTCTGTTTGTTCATTATTATCTGGCTTCTTTTATGCCTCTTATAAATTTAGGGACCATGGTAAATTGCAATTTCTGGTTTCAGAGTTGAGATACTACAGGAAATGTATGTCTTTATCTGTCCTTATCTGCAGTCTTGGAGTCAGATTTTAAGTCAAGTCCTCAACTGTATTTTTATATTTCTAGACACTCCAGTTAGTACTAAGTAACTCAGAGCTGAAATTTGCATGCTCTGTAAATTTTACCAAATATGCTTGCTTTGACTGGATTCTGGATCTCTGTCCTGTGGAGGTGGAGGTGCTCAGTATGGTTGGGAGGGTGTAGAAGCAGTCTTGAGTTTTGAGCCCCTGTTCCCTGAGAAAGGTTTTTCCACTGATTAGCAAACCATCGTCCTGTATCAGTGGTTCTGAAACCGAGCAGGCATCAGAATCACCTGGAGTGGTTAAACCACAAACTGCAGGGCCCCACCCCCAGAGTTACTGATTCCTTGGGTCTAGGCTGGGGTCCAAGAAGTTGCATTTCTAATGCGTTCCCAGATGATGTTGATGCTGCTGGTTTGGGGCACTCGCCTTGAGAATGCTGATTTATGTTTGCTCCTCGTGTTATGGCATCAAAATCCCTGCCTAACTATAGTAGCCAAGATTTGGTTTTCAAACTGCTATGGGGCATGGGGAGGGGGAGAGAAAGAGAAAAAATAGTGTTTGGCCAGAGGCCACAGAGTGTCTGATGCCTGAAAGACAGAAAAATGGTGCTGGTAAGGTATGTCTAGTTGCCCCCCTTTCTTTTAACCTCTTGAGTGTCTTCATGCTACATCATGATTATTTTATCCCCCTAGCAACAGACCCCTTTTGGCCTCTTACTCTCTAAAAGTTCTGAGGGTTCTTACTAGTCCTCCTCTGCCCATTGGCCTAAAATATTCTCAGTTAAAACTTTTCACTGCCTGTTCAGCTGGTGTGGTTGACCAAGAGGTCGCCGGTTCGATTCCAGGTCAGGAAACATGCCCAGGTTGTGGGCTGGATCCTCAGTGGGGGGCATGCAGGAGGCGGCCAATCGATGTTCTCTCTCATCGATGTTTCTCTCTCTCTCTCTCACTTCCTCTCTCTCTCAAATCAATAAAGGAAAAAAAAACAAAGAAACTTTTCACTGCTTAGTTTGTAATACAGGCCCTTCTCCTCACACTTCAGTTTTGTGACTGTATCCTATTTTTTTCAGACCAATAGTACTTTTCACTGAATGAAATCAAAGTGCCATAAACTGTACAGTTTGAAGCAGTCTGGGGTGTGTAGGTGGGTGACTAAATTCAAGTGAACATCTAGATATAAATCATGCTCTTGTATCAAACAATTCCTAGATTCAGGAAGAAATAACCCTAATACTTTTTAAAATTAAGTTTTGTTACAGATGTTTCTGCCTTTACCCCGCAGACACCCCCCTCAATCCTAATAATTTTAATAGCACTAGGTTTAAAAAAAAAAAGAGTAAAATTTAGAAACTTAAAAACAATTTGTAAGTGTTAAATTCAAGGAAATCAGAAATGATTTTATCCTTCCCAAATGCCAACGTGGATCTGAGGGCTGTGTATATAAAATTTGGTCAGAATTTCTATTATTTTAAGGTTGCTATAGGGTACATTGTGCTATAATATCTGCTGATTGCTCTCTGTGATAGATTAAATACACTATATTATGCTCAGAGCTGATGTCCTTTTATCCTTTCACCACTACCCCACTGATTATCAAGAGTCTTTAGAGAAAATAGCTCATTGTACTGGTTGATTACATGCCTCAATTGAATAGTAGCAGGCTGCCAATTATCATCACAATGCCATATTGATTTTTTTTCATTTTCACTCTGAAAATTAAAGCAGAATTTGTTTAAAATGAGCTTTCATATATATTGTGGATGTGATTGGTTTTGAATATTTGAGCTATTTTTAAAATATCTTTTCAGTGATCTGATGTTTCTTCCTGATATTCTCTTAGAAATTTAGGTCTCTAGTTTGTTGATAAACCTTACCTTGGGTAGACATAAAATGTACTTTAAAGAGTGTGAAATAGAAATATAGTCATGGTTTAAATAGGTATAGATTTTAATTTTTGCTTCATATGAATCTCCTATATATTAATTTACATTTGTGAAGTTCTTGTGTAATATGAGACTACTGATTCTCTTAATCACACAAGTCAGTATGTTTACTTAAATTTGAACTAGCAAATACTTATTTAATGTTGACTATATGTAAGCTACTCTGCTAAGTATTATGAAAGACAGAAAGATAAATGAGATAATATAACTGTCTTCAGAAAACTTTTAATCCAGAAAGGTGTGTAAGACATGTGTGACAAAAATCACATTATCAAGGAGTAAGGGATAAAGATACATGGATGTTCAAAGGAAAAAGAACTCATATTTGCATGGAAGACCTTTGGGGACAAAAACATTAGTGGGGGAATTGACAGACACTTTGAGACTTAAAGGGTTTGGAGAGATGGAGTTGGGGTTGCCCTCTGGAAAGAAACAGAAATGAACTAATACCGGGGAGGCAGGACTGTAGGAGAGAGAGTTTCTCTGATTTTTACTGGAACACGTGGGATAAGGCCTGAGGCTGTAAAGGCAGGTTGACACCAGATCAGAATCAGGATTTGAAATGTGTTAGGCAGTCCGGAGGAAAAGTTTGCAAAGAAGACAGGTGAAGTTCAATCAAGTTCTGGATTTTGTGAAATGAGGAAAAGAACAAACGAAGCCGCAGAGACCTTAGTTGGGAGGCTCCTGGCTTATTAAGATAACTAGGGCTAAACTGGAACGGTAGCAGAGACAGTGGAAAGGAGGCCCGGGCATGTGTGCGAGTCATTCTGGAAGTAGAATTTTCAGGACCGGACAACAAAAATCAAACGAAGCTCTACACGTTGGCCCGCGGACCAGAGAGTCCTGGGTTTGGTTCCTGCTAAGGGCACGTACCTCGGTTGCAGTTTGTCCCCAGCTCCGGTTGGGGTCGTGTGGGTGGCAGCCAGTTGATGTGTCTCTCTCACATCCATGTTTCTCTCTCTCTCTCTCTCTCTCTCTATCTCTTTCTCTCTCTCTCTCTCTCTCCCTCCCTCCCTCCCCCTCTCTCCCTCCCTCCCCCTCTCTCCCACCCTCCCTCCCTCCTGGTCTATCTGAAGATAAATGCAAAAATGTCCTCGAGTGAGGATAAAAATAAATAAATAAATCCATTAAAAAAAATAACATGCTGTCACTCCTTATTCCATTCATAGCAACAGAGCAGTGACATTTTATTATATATTAATCTGCTTATCACCTGTCTCCCTTTTTTGAGACAGTACACTATATGAGGACAAGGGCTTAGTATATCTCTATCACCTAGCAGGGGTAGGGAACCTTTTTTCTGCCAAGGGCCATTTGGATATTTATAACATCACTCATGGGCCATATGAAATTATAAACCTAAAAATTAGCCTCCTGTATTTGATCAGGCTAATTTGGTGAGGCTGTGATGTTAGGCAGACGTCCCCCACCCCTGATTCATGCTGGGATTTCACAGGCACTCAATCAATATTTATTGAATAAATAGAAAGAACAAATGCAAAGGTCAAAGAGATGGGGGATCAAAAATTATGCCAGTATTTCAAGACTGAATTGATTAAAAGGACAGTGGGAGTGTTCACAGAATATGGAAGAACGGAAGGGGAGTTGATTTAGGGAAGCAGCGACACAGGAATGTAGGTTTGGTTTACAAATTCAGGTTTAGGTTTGTGTTGCTGGCGAAAGCACAAAGGCAGGTTGGGCATCTGAAATGTGAAGAGAAGCCTGAGGTTGAGGTAAAGATCTTGAGTCATCCTCACGGGATGCTTGATGCAGTTGGAGTAGGAAACAGAATGATAAGCAATATAAAGATAGGATGAAAATCAAAATTTCATTTTAGAGACTTCCTGTTTTCAATATACAACCGTACTTATACTTCTTTTTTTGGTTTGTTTATTTCCTAGCTGGGTTAACAACTTTGGCCATGAAGGTCTTGGACTCTTATTGGATGTGCTGGAAAAACTTCTGGACAAGAAACAGTAAGAATAAACATGAACAAATCACCAAAGGGGAAATGTTTAAGCACAGCATAATATGTTTTTTTTTTTCTTTTATTCAGGCAAGAAAATATCGACAAGAAGAATCAGTATAAACTTATTCAGTGCCTCAAAGCATTTATGAATAATAAGGTAACTAGTGTTTATTTCTGCCTCTGTCACAAAAGGTGAGAACTTGCTCAACAGTAGGAAAGTAGGAAACAGACAGAATAGTGTGTGCTTATTTAGTTTACAAAAGGGTCTTTATGATGCAAATCATCATGTTTCATTGAAATTGTATTTAAAATATATTTTGCTTCACATAATATTTATTGGTAAGTTTTTACCATCATGTAAACATATGTCTTGTTCCCAAATTAGATAATACCTTTTTTTCTTTTATGGTAGTAGGAAAATTTAAATGTCATATGTTGAATACCATTTTCTTAGTGTTTTTATTCCTTTGAAAAGGAAAATTCAAAGCCATGGTTTGACTTGTGTGCCAAGAACATTATATAGTTAAGATTTCTCTTTCTTTTATGTTCAATTAATGTCAGTTAACATATGTAAAAGACATTTCTGGAAAATAGTGGGTTTTTTTCTACATTATGAGGGACTCAATGAAATAATCTAGACAAGGGTTTTTCTTCTAAAAGTAGTCTTTGCATAGGTTATGGAGTTATACTTATGTTTTCTATAAGCTATTTTGTTACTGTCTTAGAAATGATTTGCTCTGTTGGTAAAATACCACTGCCTAATTCACTAATTACATAATTCCCTTTATTGCACATAGGGGCTCAGAACATGAATGAATGGTGGATCTTTTACATTATAGGCATGTGAAGTAGACCTAAAGCCTGCATTCAAAATAAAAATATACAGTGATGTCTCCATTTCATGTTGCAATAAATTGTCATAATCAAAGAATCAAACTGTCATCTGAAATGACTTAAACATCAAATGTGTTGGCCCCAAGGAGTTTATATTACCTGCTTCAAAAACTCTTTTTCCTTACACAGTGCATGTCAGAATAGGATCATAAAAAGCCACCCATTGCTTCTTAACTTCCTCTGCTGTAATATTGCTCTGCAGTTTAGATTTATGGTTTTTCATCATTACTCATAGCTTCATTTTTGCTTTCAGTATATTACAAAATACTTTTCAACAATAAGTGGAAATTCGAAAATGTAAATGACTTCACTCTCAGTCTAATTGATTTTTACAGTTGTTATTTTAAGTTTGGTAATTGCATGGTAATCTATCTCTCCGTTTCAGTTTTTCACTTCTTTTTCTTACTATTTATTATCTACTGGCCATCTTTATGCATACATTTCCCTTCTGTTTTCTTTGCTTCCTTTATATCTTGTCTCATCCATTTCCTTTTTTTTTTTTTTTCTGTGTATTTCCTTATTTATTTCGACCTCCGGTAAAGTCACATTTAAGAGCTTCAGCTATTTTTCCCCATGAATTCTTTTAGAAGTTACATTAGCAACCATGAAAATCTTCATATGCTTGGTACTTAACTAAAGGTTAGCTTGAAATGGCAATTTTGCTCCGATGAAATGTTGTCAGATTTCACTATTAGACTGTAAAAAGACCCAGATGTATTTCATGAGAAATCTGAGAAATACTTTGTGGGACAAAGAGCAAAGAAAATATTACCTTCTTAATGTAGTGAAAACCCAAGTTTGGGGCTTTCTTTAAAATTTCTTTAGCTATTCATTCTCACAATGCGCACTTGCACACACATACTCAAGACTAGAAAATAAATGAAAGTGGAGTCTCCTCTGCCTACTTGAATGTGACACTGACTGAAATCCAGGTGCCATTTCTTTGTGTTCATAGCAGCTCAGCTGCCTGAGCAGGGGAGAATAACAGAAGGTGTAGAAAAATCTGTACAGAGGTTCGTTGCTTTACCTGGCATATAGTACACGAGGAACCTGTCAACATTTTACCCTTTTGTTCAACTTAATTTTCCATACAAACATATTGGAGAATTTAACCATGAATTTCAGATATCTCCAGGGAGATCCAGTGACATAAGTAGAATTACTTTTGAAAATCGTACCAGTATGTGCTTTACACACTCTTCTTTGTTGAAGAAATACTGATTGTTCCCATATTTCCCCCAAATCTTCATGGAATTTTTAGGCAGGCTAATGGAGATCATATCGGATCAAGGGCCCCAAACTCCAAGATACAGTCACTTCAAATAAAAAACAAAGAGAAATAACTGCTTGTTTCAATAACATTCATATAATTAGGCAGAACCTCATGGTGGAGGTATGGGTTTTTAGAAAATCATTGTAAGTTTTTGTTTTTTTTTTTTTTAAATTAAAGATATGTTCCAAAGACATTTTGAATGAAAAATCTTTTCTTTCTTTTTTTTCAAGTTTGGATTGGAAAGGATTCTAGGAGATGAAAGAAGTCTTTTACTATTGGCAAGAGCAATTGACCCCAAACAACCCAACATGATGACTGAAATAGTAAAAATTCTTTCTGCTATTTGCATCGTTGGCGAAGAAAACATGTAAGTATTGCTGTGCTGTTATATTAACTGCATGAAAAATGACACTTGCGAAATTAACAAGTCCTACTTGTGTTCTGTTTATTTAGATAACTTGCATACAAATAATATGAAATTTTAGGAAGAAATTAGTAACATTTTTATCTTATCTATTTGCATTTTAGCTTTTTTTGATTCTTTGGGAAAAAATAGGTTTGAACAGATAGAATCCTAATAGGAAATTCCTCAAAGTTGGATTCAAAGTGAATGAACAGAATTTTGTCTAGCTGAAGGTAAATCAATTACAAGAAATATAGGGGAAAAAATCAGAGAGTAATATTGGCTAAATACACACACAACACAGAACACACACACACACACACACACCTACACACACCTACCTCTGTGCACACACCCTATACACATATGCACATCACAAAATTTGACTTCTTTATCTAACTGAATTAACTAGATACCAAAATGAACTAACCTGTGAAAAAGAAAGAACTCAAAGGCTGTTGGTGATTTTTCAAAGTGCATGTAAAAGTGCCCGTTTCAGCAAGTTGTTGCAGACCATGCATTAGATCGTTTCTTCTTATGGAAATAATATTGACTCAGAAACTATTTTGATAAAGAATGAAATAAATACCTGCTAAGGACATGGACCAGGATGTTTCATCGAAACACTGTGTGTGCCGGCAGTAATTTCAGTTTGAATCAGAACAGGGCTATACAAATATTTTGAATATTCTAATATGTTGACTTTTCTATACCTGCTAGAATAAAATGAGATGTTGCTTAGTGCTGGCTAGTGTCCTCCAAAGCCAAAAGACAAACACTAAACAAAAATATTATCATATAGCATTAAATCTTATCTCAGTGAGAACACACTGTAAATGAGATAATATTTGCAAAGGTAAGGTTTCCTTAGGTTTTATTGAAAATTTTGTTTACACATGAGTAAGAAATATTTTTCTAGTCAAGTAGATTTTTCAATACTTAATTCATATAATACAACCTATCCTGCTATACTTACGATTTAATTATATTTTCAGATACAGTTTTGAAAGAGTAGTATACTACATAGAATTTAATTTGATTCAGGCACTGTACAGAGATAGTCTTCATTATTTTGTTCAGGTAACTTAAGTTTCTTGTGCTAGGAAATTATAGATGCTTCTCTAATTAGCTAGGCTTTCTCTTTTAGGTAGTGGTTTTGTTGTTGTTGTTCCATTTTAAAAGAACATTAATGTTTTTAAGTTCTTTTAAAACTTTTAACTCTTTCCAGCACTTTATTATAAAATTACAATCAGGAGAGCACTTGAGGTCTCCCTTCCCAGCGTATGTCATCAGTTTGTCTCAAATAAACTCTTATAAATAATTTTTTAAAAAGTAGTCGGGTTACACTGGAAGAATTTTTTTTTTTTTTTAATTTTACTTTTGTTACAGATGTTTCTCCTTTTTTCCCCCATTGACACCCTCCTCCCCATCCCCCCCGCCCCGTCCCTGGCTTTGTTGTCCATGTCCATTGGTCATGCATAGATGCATATAAGTTCTGTGGTTTATCTCTTCCCCCACCACCCCCTCTTCTGAAGGTTGTCAGTCTGTATGGAAGAACTTTTAATAATTATAGATGCCATTTAGGGTTGAAGGGATATTAATATGTTACACGAAATATCAAAACCTGAAATTTTACATTTCAGTGTTTCCCGATTAAGTATCTTTTGAAAAGTGTCACCCAGAAAAAATATTTTCCTCAAGATTTTTATGTTGAATTTTCATTTTGATACCCTAAAATTATTTAATGCAATCAGTAGTTGACGTGTTGAAATATGTGGAAAGGAACAGTTATTTAATTGTGATGGTCTATATAATGATCAGTCACCAAAAAGAAAACAGGGAAATCTGAAAGAGAAAACCCATATTTTCAATGTGTACGTGAGATGTATTTCTCATTCCTTTTTTTTTTTTTTTTCTCTCTCTAGACTAGAGAAACTTTTAGGGGCTATAACTGCAGCAGCAGAAAGAAATAACAGAGAACGATTTTCACCAATTGTGGAAGGATTAGAAAATGATGAAGCTTTGCAATTACAGGTGAGTTTACTTTGTCTTAAATTGCTTCTATGGTTATATTTAGAGCGCTCATTTTGTATGACACTAACTCCATTTGAGCTAACACTTAAATTGAATGAAACATAAAAATGAAATTCTTCCTGTGGCTTGGTTGTTCATAAAAGCTAGGAGTTTTGTTTGTGAGAATATCAATGTGTTTAAAATGAGAAAAAGTACTTTGAAGTATTATAAATGTGATTATGATGATCATTATTAATATGTGGGTAGAAATTTTGTAATTAATGCAATAGACTGCAGACGTTAAGGCCTTAGCAATAACCAGAGCAAGAGGGCAAGCAGTTCAGCCAATGTCGTTATCCTAACAAGAGTTAGTGATGTCTGTGGGCTTGTAGAAATTTAAGAAACCTAAACGCATCTCTCTTTGTGCCATACATGCAGCATTCAGAAGTCTGACTCACCAGAATATTGAGGATTGAAGGGCAACTCTTAGGACAACGTTTATCTGTTAGCCCTGGGTAGACCCAGCCTAAATGTTTTCGTTAGAAAATGACAGAACTCAGTATCTTTTGTTAGATGATTTTAGGAAATTATGCATTTTATGAACAATAACTTAGTTCTTAACTGGTGCAAACTCATATTCATTGACCATACTTACAGTGCAGCGTGAGATCCTGGCCTAAACATTTCAGTTTACATCTGTTACATGATTGAATTCTCAAACAACCCAGCTGTGTAGGTACTATTACTTAGTAGTGAGTGTTTAAATATTAACATTTCTTACCCGATGTAAAACAAGCATTTTCTTTTCCTCTTTTTATTGTATTATGAAATATTGGTATCTTTTTTCACCAGAGTTTGAAGCTATGGCACATAGATAACTGGCTTGTCCACAGAGAACACTACAGTGTTACGAAGCTGTAATCTCTCGCCCAATATTTAAGGAAATGTGTTCACTGTTAGTTCTATTCCAACTTTAATGAGCAGTTTGGATACAATTTTAAGGTGTGCCTTTTATGTCCAGGGTATTAATGTTTTTAAAAATAATCGAAGTGTTTACTTTCGGTGTTTTTCTGTTCACAACACACTTCTTATTATAAAATGTATCTCAATCAAAGGTAATATTTCTACTGAAAGGTTTGAAAACTATCTTTTTAGATGACTTCTTGAAATATTTTTTCTCCTGTCTCTGGCTTACCTAACTAAATTTCTTTGTCTTTCAGTCATATGTAGGGGTTTGGACTTGTCTCGCAAAGTTTGTTTAGGAGGAATTAGGTGTTTTAGATACATTGAAAGTTTTCATTACATCACTCATTGAAAATCATACAGCTGTTGCGGGGTAGAGGTATGATCTGAAGCCAGGTCCTTGTGATGTCAACACTGATAGACTGAATTGTCTGACCTTTAAAATGACACCTCTGCCATAGAGTAGTTCACCCCAAATGATAAGAAAGGAATAACATTTTCCAGCCTTCAGGAAGCTAGGCTGAATGGAATGCTAAAATGGCAAGTTGTTAACAAGTAAACATATGGAAGAATCATAGACACCTTGCTAGGCATTCACGAAATTGTTGAATACTTACTATAGATGCCAATATATGCAAGTCACAATTTGAAATTTCTCATTTTAATGCGCTACAGTAATTAGTAATTTGTTATATACAGGGACTATTACTCTCACAAGAATTGTGAAGTGGGTTTGTTTATTTGGACTATTTCATGTGAATGAAAAAATATCATCTAAAAGTTCAAAAATATATTCAGAATGCTGCAGAATGAAAAACAGGTTCAAATCTGTTGTTTAAAAAAAAATATAATTAGTGCTGTATTTTAACAGAATGACTTTTCTATTTCGGCTGTGTCCTGAGACTTCTCAAAATGTTATTACAGTCTTAGGAAGTAATTCTGTTAAAATACAGGACTAATTATATTTTTAAATAACAACTATATACCTTTTTTTCTTTTGTGCGATTTAAAATAGGTTATTAACTTCTCACAGAGGTTTTCTAGCTCATCTTTAAAGTAAAATTTTATACTTGTGATAGGATTTTCATTATCTTCATACTTCACAAAATAGATAAGACAGTAAATCACGTATCTTCATATACTCTCCCTTCATTGACTTCCCTTCAGCTAAGTAGCATTCTCAAGTTTCCCTCCTACTACAACGCCTTCTTTTGATCCTACTTATCCCTGAACTAGCCTCTCATCATCCGTTTTCATTTTAGAGTTTAAATCTCAAAAAGCATCATCGATACTTGTTTTTTCTGTTTCCTAAATTACCTTTCACAACTCAGCTGTTTTTGCAGTTCACAAAAAGGTCGGCAGTGATCCTCTAATTTCAAAACCCGACGGCCTGTTCCCAACCCTGATCACTTGGCATCTCCTTCCGCCTTGAAATGGGGCTGCCCTTGGTTCTCAGGCACCGCTCCCTCCTTGGTCTTTGCCCACCTTTAAAACTGCACTTTCTCTGTCCTCTTCATGTGTTTTTTTCTTCTTGAGTATTTTGTTCTCCATGCTCTGTCCTTGGTCCTCTTCTATTACCATTTTTATATATATATACCTATGTGCATATACATATACACACACATATATATTCATATACACGTATATGTACACACACATATTTTATTTTTCTCATGAATGTTCTTAATTGCTTTCATAGCTTTAACATCCCCTAGGTCCTAGTGATTCCCCGGATTTATAAGTCCAGCTCATCTCTCTCTCTCTGTTCAAACCTACATGTCTAATTGCCTAACTAGATGTCTGGGGAACATCATAAAAATAAGAAAGGAAATAGCATTTATAAGCCACGCGCCAGTGTTCTGAATACTTTACTTATGTTGCCTCATCTTTAAACTTCACAGCAATTCTATGAGAGAGAGTAGTAGTATTCCTATTTTATTTTATTTTACTTATTTGTTTTTGTATGTAAAATGTTTAATATATTTTGATACAGAGAAATATGATAGAAATCAGTAAAAGATAGTGAAGTAGTATTCCTATGTTATACATGAGTACACTGAGACTCACAGAGGTTACATAATTTGCTCAGGGTCACAAAGTGAATAGGAGGCAAAGCCTAGGTTGGCAGGTTCCTGGCTCCAGAGCGCATGTCCTCAACCACTACGTAGTACCTCCTGAGCTCACTCTCTCTTCCCCTTAACCTGATCCCCCACCCCCCAAAGAGGTCTACTCTTCTTCACGTCTTTCTCATTTTAGATTCAGTAGTTATCATCGTCTACCTAATCTTTCATTTCCCTCAAGACTAAATCCTTTTTTGTCCTTGCATGCAATCATTCATCAAGACTTACAGAACAGACTATGAATCCAACCCAGTCTCTCTAACCTAGCCTTTATCTTCTTCCACCAATGTTATTCCAACACTTTTTTCTTTATTGATTTTTTGAGAGAGAGAGAGAGGAAAGGGGAGGGAGAGAGAGATAGAAACATCGATGAGAGAGAACATCGACTGGCCGCCTACTGCATGCCCCCCACTGGGGATCGGGCCCACAACCTGGCGACCTCTTGGTGCATCGGTCGATGCTCAACCACTGAGCCACACTGGCCAGACATTCCAACAATTTTTTAATTTGTACCCTATACTGATATAGTCTTCCCTACCATACAGATATTCTGTAATGTTGTTCGTTATCCTCAAAAAGTAACTCCAGTTCTAACATAGTAGCATTCCTAGAAAGCTGTGCTTATTACTTTGCTACCTTGATAAAGGTGATGAGCCCAACCATGATGTATGACCTTTTTCAGTGTGGCCCCAGCTCTAGGCTTGTCAGTCTCCCAAATGTACCATATGTTTTAGCCAAACTAAACCTGGTATTTGCCAAATATGCTGTACACTTTTTTTTAAAATCCTCACCTGAGGACATTTTTCTGTTTATCTTCAGATAGAGTGGAAGCAAGAGAGGGAGAGAGAGAGAGACACATTGATGTGAGAGAGATACATGGACTGGTTGCCTCGCGCATGACCCTGACCAGGGCTGGGGATAAACTGCAACTGAGGTATGTGTCCTTGACTGGAATCGAACCCACGACTCTTTGGTCCACAGGCCGATGTTCTAACCTCTGAGCCAAACCAGCCAGGGCTATGCTGTAGACTTTTAAATGTCCTCAAATATTTTAGAATGGAGAAAACTTGAAATATCAACCTTTTCATACCCATTTCCCTTTCCTCCTGGAAAAGTTTATAGATATATATATATATATATTTTCTTTATTAATTTTAGAGAGAGAGAGAGAAACATCGATGAGAGAGAACTTCGATTGGCCGCCTCCTGCATGCCCCCCACTGGAGATCCGGCCCACAACCTGGGCATGTGCCCTGACCGGGAATCACACCAGCGGCCTCTTGGTTCATCAGTTGATGCTCAACTACTGAGCCACACCGGCTGGGTCTTCCTGGAAAAGTTTAATGGGAGCACAAAGGAATGTACATTTAGGTATGTCCTGCATAAATCTAGGGAGGCTTCATTGAGGAGGTGATGCTTTAACTAGGCCTTGAAGGATACATAGGAGCTAGTATTATGGTAGAATGGGACACAGGAGAAGGACTTCAGTAGGTAAAATTGAGGCCAGAGTAGTCTGCCAGTCACTTCACAAAAGAAGACAGAGTGAAGTAATATCAACAGACAGTTGAAACCATTTTTTGCATAGCCCAGCAGGAAGAGCTAGGGCACACTGAGTGTTAATAATAGTTGTTTATGGAAAGACAGAGTAGTATAGTTAACCTCCAATGATGTATTAGAAAAAGAGCCCGGTCTTTGCAGGCTGCTGTTAGTCTGAGAGGTGCCATGTCTTAATGTCTTTCAGTTGCTGTGTGGAGAAGCGCACTTAGCGTGATTTAATACATTTTAAAAATGTTTTCTAACATGCCAAAAGTAATAATAAAAAATTTGTGCATGTTGTCATTAGACGTGGTACACAAAAACACAGCAGTAAATGTGCACTTCACTGATGTGTAATAGGTTCACTTATCCTGACTTTACCTATTGGAGAGATTGATCATT